ACATTTGTCTCCTACCCGACATTAACAAATTTTCTTAGGCAGATAGAAAAAAATATTTTTCCGATACACAAGAGAATAAGATCGTGAAGAAGTTGGAAATAATTAAGTTAGGTAGTTGGTGCGAAAGTTCTTAATTTAAATATAGTTTTTGTCATACATAACAGCAAATTAATAATCAGTGAGAAAATCCACAACGAAAAGCACTAGTTACATAAGCAGTTCTGAAGTAAAAAAAAACAATGAAATGTCAATAAATCATTATTTGTAGAAGAGTATATCATCCGAAAAGCAAACTACTGGTACCCAACATAGGGCAGCAAACAAATTAATATGGTCAGTGTGATTCAATCATAGATGTCCTCGAGGGGAAGTCGAAAGCACCGAAAATAAATTTCGAGGTTAGCGTCGAGTTACAGATGAAGATATGTCAGACAAGGGTCGCGAAATTACTTCTACTCAGCAAACCAATATACCTACGTATCACGCAAGTTGGATTAACCGTATGTAGGAAAACACAACAGAGAATCAATCTATGACATTAGACTGTCATTCTGGATCATATGATGGAATACAAACTTCGAAACAGGAACCCACAAGATATTTTATGGTATAAATATTTCGATCCAAAGTCGAACACATTACCAATCAATACTAGATCTTGTGTTATTAATAATTATAATATACTCTCTTATAAATCATTTACAAAACGCTGACATATTGAAGCTTCATTGATAAATATATTATGAAGGTAATTACTTGATGTTCCAATGAATTTCCAATCGTATCATATACAACTAACGTTCGTGACGTTCAGGTTAGACAACGAAGCCAAAATAAGATAGCCAGAGCTTCGTACAAACGAAAACTTTTTTCACATGTAAAGAAATTAACATAAATTCCCAGTATTAATAAGTTTATGGCTCATCCAACATCACACAGATCGTGAAATTCTTGACTTCATAAATTTATTATAACCAACGTAGGACTTGTCATAAATATGTATTAGCCGAAGTTACCACATCACATTAGCACGACGAGATGAAAATGACAAGGTGAAATAATACAATTACAGACAACAAATGAGAATATTATGTATTCAGTGAAATAAACACACACAGAGGAAATATTTATCTATGAGATGAATAATTCAATACCTAATTAAGCGAATGTCCGGCGCTTTAACCGGATCACAAACCAATGGTGCACATGGGTTCCAGTATCCTGCGGGAACAAATGGCGTATGAACCAATCCTTGGTCACCGGCTACCATGGGATTGCATCTCCTTACGATGCTCCACTGCCTTGTGGGTTAGACCTTTAGGTCAAAGGCTCGGGGAGTGGCCCCCTAAGAAAACCACCTGCTTCGGTTTGGGCACCCGGGCAGTATCACAGCCCACACACAAACGATGAACTCTATGTCTTTGGCAACTACTTTTATCGCTCCGAAAAACAAAAACAATCAATCGATTCAAATAATTATCATTACTATTATTGTCATTATTAATACTATTATTATTACTATTATTGTCGTCATTATTATTATTATTATTATTATTATTTCCCACATTATTCACGCTCTTTCATACTTATACAGCGGCTCGGCTTTGGTGGAAATCCGACTGTATCTAAACGTTCTCGAGTCACTGTCCGGTTGAAAGTTGTATGTTACCATCGAATATGAGTACTGAAGCAGTTTTTCTGAAACCACGTGCACCATTCAAACTGGCTGCCTTCAACGTTCGCACACTTATGCAGGTTGGTCAACAGATAGGGCTGGCTATGTCTTTGGAAAGCCTTAATATTGATGTTTGTTGTCTATCCGAGACCCGTATTCAAGACTCTGGTGAAGTACTACAAATTCGCTCTCCATCTGTCACTTCAAAAAGCTTGTTTTACGTGCGCTTATCCGGGGACCCTGTGGCATCTTCGTCTGGTCTTGCAGGCGTTGGTGTCGCACTAAGCGCTAGAGCTGAGGCAGCACTAGTCGATTGGATCCCCATTAACAGTCGGTCATGTGCTGTTAGATTAGAAAGTTCCATCAAAGTGAGAAGAAATCGGCGTGAGAAACGATGTCTTTTCGTCATCTCCGCCTATGCCCCGACAGATTGCAGCCCGGATGCAATCAAGGATGAATTCTACCACCAGTTATCTGTTCTTCTCCAGAAAGTGCGTTCGACAGATATTGTAGTACTAGCCGGAGACTTGAATGCTCAGGTCGGGCGTCTAGGCACAGAAGAGAGTCGTTTAGGTGGCCGATGGGGACTCGTTGGTCGCAGGTCAGATAACGGGGACCGTCTACTGCAACTGTGCACAGACCACAACCTGTTTCTGGCTAGCACTAACTTTCGGCACAGTCATCGCCGATGTGCCACCTGGCGTCCCCATTCTGCATCTCAAGCCTGGACTCAGATTGATCACATCGCGATCAGCTACCGCTGGCGTGGTTGTATAAAAGACTGCCGCTCCTTTTGGAGTACCTATCTGGACTCTGACCATGCCTTGGTCTGCGCCAATCTTGCCTTACTTTTCAGTGGACAACGAAGTGAACGCCATCAACGGATTGATGGTAGCAAGCTGGTTGCAACTTCTGTTGCAAGTAAGTGTCGAACCGAGCTAGCCTCTAGGCTAGCTACCACTCCACCGAAAAGTATAGATGAGCATTGGGTGCAATTGCATGACGCCATGAAAATGGAGGGTACAGTCAGTTGTGGGTTCGCGAAACGTCCCGCTTTTAAGCACTGGGTTTCTTCTGGTTCCTTACAACTCATTGAAGCCCGTCGGTCTACTCCGAGTGACCGTGAGTTTGACCATAAACGAAGGATGTTATGTAAGGAAATCGGGCAAAGCTTGCGTAAGGACCGAGAAGCCTGGTGGTCGAAGCGTGCTAATGAGCTGGAAGCAGCAGCTGCATCTGGTAATTACCGGAATCTCTTCCAGCTCATCCGAGCCACTGGCAGCAAGAAGTCTGGTGTGAGTGAAACAATCTGCGAGGATGATGGGATGCCAATCACTAACATCCATCGACGTCTTGGACGATGGGCAGAATTTTTCGAAGGGCAGTTCAACTGGCCTGCTGCTCAGGCAACATCAGTCAGACTGTCCTGCCCTCCATGGCCGGTGACGACTGATCCACCAAACGAGGAGGAAGTCCGCAAGGAACTCCAACTCTTGAAGCGCTACAAATCACCTAGCCCAGATGAATTACCTCCGGCTCTTTTTAAAGATGGTGGTGACTTTCTGACTAAGGAATTGACGACGTTGTTTACAAAGGTTTGGCAGCTAGAGAGTGTACCAACGTCATGGAATGAGTCGATAGTTGTCCCTATCTTTAAAAAGGGTTCACGTCGTTCCTGTAACAACTATCGGGGGATAAGTCTATTTCCGATTGCGTCCAAGCTATTGGCTTCCGTCATACTTCGTAGGTTGTTCAAAACCCGAGAAAGATTGACTCGCGAGGAGCAGGCTGGGTTTCGTTCTGGTAGAGGATGTATTGATCATATCTTCACCCTCTGCCAAATGTTAGAACACCGCCATACTTTTCAAAGGCCAACAATCTTAGTGTTTCTTGACATCAGGGCTGCCTTCGATTCGTTGGACAGGACTGTTCTCTGGGATTGTCTATTGAAGAAGGGTGTGCCTGAGAAGTTTATTAACATCCTGAAAGTCCTATACACAAACACCTCAGGCAGAGTGAGGGCATACAACCACCTTTCTCCATTGTTCCATTCGAGCAGTGGGGTTAGGCAGGGTTGCCCAATCTCACCATTCCTCTTCAACTTTGCCATCGATGACATTCTGGAAACAGCTCTGATGGATGTAAGTAATGGTGGTGTGGATCTGTTGCCTGGAGAAAGACTTCTCGACCTTGAGTATGCGGACGATATTGTCTTACTGTGCGATAATGCCCAAGGCATGCAATCCGCACTTAATCAGTTGGCAATCAGTGTCCGTAGGTATGGTATGTGCTTTGCACCTTCGAAGTGCAAAGTACTCCTACAAGACTGGCATGATTCCAATCCTGTACTCACCCTGGATGGTGAACAGATAGACGTAGTCGAGAAGTTTGTGTATCTGGGTAGCTGTATAAGTGCTGGTGGGGGTGTGAGTGATGAGATCAATGCACGAATAGTGAAAGCCAGAGCGGCTTATGCCAATCTGGGCCATCTATGGCGCCTTCGTGATGTTAGTCTGGCCGTAAAAGGCCGGATCTACAACGCGTCGGTGAGAGCAGTTTTGCTCTATGCTTGTGAAACCTGGCCTCTCCGAGTTGAGGACGTTAGACGACTCTCTGTGTTCGATCATCGTTGGATTGCTGACATTCAGTGGCAACACCATGTCAGTAATGCAGAGGTTCGGCATCGTGTGTTCGGGCACAGAGATGATAATTCAATTGGTGTCACCATCTTGAAACACCGACTTCGGTGGCTTGGACATGTTCTCCGAATGTCGTCCCAGAGAATTCCACGTCGTGCATTATTTGCCGACTCTGGGACTGGTTGGAAGAAGCGGAGAGGTGGTCAGTGCATGACATGGTGTCGTGACATGAAAGAAAGCTGCAAAGGACTGGCTTCTGTTGGTCCTTCACGACTCCCTGGTTGGGGTCCGAGAGATGGTGCTACACAGTGGCTAGAGACGTTATCAGATATGGCTCAGAATAGAAGCCAGTGGCGATCCTGCTGTAACCTTCTTTTACTTTCTTCATAAACAGTGGTTGTGTCTCCCTTACCTGAAAGATTTCTTCCGATTGTACCTTTGCGTTCCCTGATTACTAGCACATTACCTTACACCAATCTCTTCGTTATTGTTCTCTCTTTTTTTTTGTTGCGCTCCTTAGCTTTTTTTTTCTTTGTATTCCTCTCGAATTTTCATTGTTTTGTGTGGCGCATATATATTGGCGCTCCCCTGTACCAATATTCATGTGTCCAAATAAATAAATAAAATAATAAATAAATTTATCTATGAGATGAATAATTCAATACCTAATTAAGGTTAGGTATGGAGGTGAACAAACCATTACTGGAGAAAAACATCAAAGATTTCAGTATTTATAATACTGAATATAGCTATGACTAAACGCCATATTATTCTCACTAATCATCCATCTAATGATATTCACCTTCTCTGAGAATGTAAAAAACGGCTATAATAACGAAAACTGGTTAGATATTTTACAGTTTCTACCAGGTTCTAGTTAAAAAATCTCAGTTAAGTTGTTCAATTTATAAGCATTATTTACAATGAAACAATCCCGACAAATGTATAATTATCTGCCTTATATAACAGTAAAAAGGCTCCAATACAGATAGAACGGGGGAAAACCCATTACTAAAATTTTGTGCATTGTATAAAAACCAATTCATCGATAATGCGTATAGATAATAATACATTAAATACTTTGTACATAATTTATAATATGATACAATTGATTGTTCAATACTATTCAGAACGTTTAAGTTTTGGACATGAACCATATGGTCGAATAGATAAACTATATACATGTTGTGCATTTGTCGAAAATATTTTCTCTTTATCTTCAACTGATCCATAACCAGCATCACCCATAGCATGTTCCACCAATCTAGCAGTTTCCCATAGATTAAGAACTTTCAATGGAACTGATCGTCTTGCACGTTTAGCGGCTATTTCACCAGGTATATCAAATGTTTGTAAATCACTAGCTGTGGCTTGTTCAGGCCAACCTGTTTGATTTGGTTGGAATAATCGACATATTGGCCAACCGGAACCAAATAAACAACGGCCTGGTCCAAAACAACTGATTGCATGAGATAAAGCTGAACTGGCACACCATTGATCGATACTGTAAACATCGGATGTATCGTTAGATGATTCTGAAGACTTTTGTATACAACCAGTAGCACCAGTCACTTTGCAATAAACATTTGGATATCGACTGAGTAGTTCCAAGTCTGAGCGCCAGTTTTTCCAAGCTAAATTGTCTTGTATGAGTAAGAAGACAACCGAATGGATACAAATAAAGCATTAGGGATTAGCGAAATACACAAATGTGACAATTATCATATTACGGCAAAATGCAAATAGAAGAAAAAAGGTCAACCAACGTTCTATTATCTTAAAAAATCAAAGATAACTGTTTAGAATACCAATATTTAATAAATTCGAATTATTAAAGCTGATAGAGAATGAGTACGTCGACTAGTGGATCTAATTTTGAGCAATATCAACGTATTTCTGTAACCGCAGACGACTATCAACTATTAAACTGGGACCATTGAGATTAAACTTCACGGCACGCCTGTCTAAAAGTGAATGGTTTAAAGATTGAGTGAATATACTGGCTTGACAGCTGCTCTTTTATCTCCTACCTACTCCCATAATAGTCATCAAAGTATTTCAGAGTAATTGGTGATTGGGTAAACTACTGCAGTATTTATGCTTTCTGAAAGACAATTGAGTTGGTACATTCGGGGAGCTTTTGCATCCGTACCAGCGTTTCATTAACTATTGAGCAAAAACTCTTAGGGTACGTGGAATGATCAACACATAAGATTGTTCTATTCCTCATGATATAATCATTGATTTACGCAGAACACTGTTGGGAAAACACTTAGAAGAGAAACCCATTCCAAACATTATTGGGCTGTCACTCAAATAGTTCAGAAGGATTTATATTTTGTGTCTGTATCCGACTAACAGAATTATGTTATCTGAATACTTCAAGTCAATCAGCTTATCAGTAGAAGATAAAGCCGTAGAAATCTACAACAAAACTATTTAATCGAGAACAGGGAAATTAGCTTGAGGCTGGTTGAATTACCTTTCAGTGCTCAGGACATCATTTCAGTAACCTAGTTTGATAGTAGACCAGTGTTTTTTTATGTCGTAGTAAGCATTGCGAAGAACTTTTGTCAGTTCATAAATGACAGCAAAGATGAGTTACTGAAACTTAACCAGCTCAGTCAAGACCGTTCAAAACCTATCGGTTTCTAGTTTTACAATCGTTTGGATGTTATGTGAAAAGTAAGTGTATCGCCGATTCTTCTTGACACAACCTAGTAAGAGAAGTAAGCGAAAGCTTACATCAGAGCATTCCTGGGGTCTAGAGATAATACTGAAAGTTCCAAATGCCTTCTATCGAACCGAGTTGAAAATTTATTTATTTGAACACATAAATAATGGCACAAAGGGGCACCGAATACATATGCGCTACACAAGTCACTTGATTTGTGTGTGGGTTGTGATACTGCCCGGGTACCCGGACCAAAGCAAGTGGTTTTCTTAGGGCGCCACAACCAGAGCCCTCGACCTAATGGTCTGACCCACAAGGAAGTGGAGCAACGTAAAGTCGCCGGTGACCAACAACAGCTTCATACGCCATTTGTTTCCTCAGGATCCTGGAGCCCATGTGTACCAGTGGTTTGGAATCATGGTTTCCCAACTCCCCTAAGTGAACCCACCGTGTCCACCAACCCGGTTAAAGCGCCGGACATCCGCTTTCCGTCCTCTCAACTTTGTGAACAACACCCTCACTGAGAGAAGACAATGAGCAGGACTTTCCTGGCAGTGGTTATATGCACGTGGCCATGTGAGAGTATTTCGAGAGGGAGGGCGGACTTTCCACACCCTCGGTTGTACCGGGGCATTTGGGGGTCAAATAGGAACAATAACGGGGCAGATTTTCATGCATATAGTATACAATTCTCTTTGAGCCTAGCACACAGTAGTACTGTGATGCATTATCCCATCGCCCTTGGAAGATCAAGCAACCCGAAAGTCACGAGAACATCATCAGGGTATGCGACAGGTTAGGTACTCCTAGTTGAAAATGCGCATTTGTAAACAATTTTCAGTTTACCTGATCAATTAGTTGGAGCTTTAGTTATTGGAAGTGTAGGCGGAGACTACAAAGAGACAATAGAATGTACATCTCTCTATTTTGTGTTCTTACAGCCTCATTTAACAAAGCAGCGCAAAGATGACAATCGACTAAAATCGAGTCTGAAAACTCCCGTTCTACTTTTGGACTTGATACTATACATACACCTAAAAGATCGTGAGAATTCACATAAACCGATAAAATTGAACTGAAGTTCGAACCCAAAACAACTTTTATCTATTTAACCAATAAGTCAAACTTCAAAACCGAATGCAAATATTAAAAAACACGAACTTATTGAAACGAATTAAGACATGGAACGCACATAACTACCATAAAGTGACTAAGTTTATACGTAGATACTTGGTATTTACTAAACAGTTAAGTTACGGTAATACAGTGCCAACTGTACGCTTCATTTAGACTTACTGAATGAGTGGTCATTTACTGTTTACAAATTGTAAGTCAATTAACTAAAAATATATTAATCGATTTCAAATACAAAATATCATAGAAATGTAAGTAATGAGATGTATATAAATTTGGAACTCTATGATTTTTCATTTATATAATCACGAGTTATAATTCTGAATTGTATAAATCACTTGCGACTACTCATCTAACCTTCTGTTATACTTATTGAAGGTTTAAGAAAGTGTCAATATGTATGGTTAACCAATTATCACGAGAACCAATACAATAACGAAATTGGTGGATTACTTCTTAATGAGGTGGGCAACAGGATAACGTGATTGATAATTGTTTAACGGTAATATATGCTATATGTAACTAAAATTACATTCAACAAACTGATTTTATTAGTAAATACATCGTTAGTGAAAACTTTTAATTTGACTTATTTTATCCAGCATTTTAAATATAAAAAGACACATGTTATGATAGCACCCATAACATATCATAATAACTAATACGTAGTCACACTAGTATAAATCAATGTTGAACAAAACAGAAAATCTAGATTAATATCTTTTCCTTAAAAATTCATTTGTTCGTACAAAGAAAGTATAACTTTCAATTACATTCACAAAATATCTGTGTTGAAAAGCTTAGCATATAATATTTTTAAAATGTTTTAATATTTAACACAATGTAAGTTTTACAATTCATTCATTTACACAACTCACCTGATCTGCTTGCAGTAAACTCTACAGGTAAACCACAATGATTAAGTACTAATTTTAATTTAGGATGACGATAAGCTAAATGACATGCATGTCTTAATTGATGTGGTCCAATAGCTAAATCGAATACAAGTTGTTGATGTTCAATTACTGAGAAATTATTATCGATCTAAAACCAAAAAAAGAACAACAGAAATTTTAATCGTTTTATTACTTATTGAAAAAAAAACCCAATGTAATAAACCATATGTGCGGGAACTATAGAACTACAATGTGATTGGTTTAAGGTAGCTCATGGTTAGCAAGTGTGTATGTATTGAGAGTTGTAATTTTGTCAAATTTAAATGGATATATGCGTGAATGTTATAGATTACATTGTTTCTTTTTTTAAAAAAACATTTATTCACCACTATCTGGTAATGAATTGAATTGATGACTAATTTATTCTGTTTTCTAAACAAACTTCATGCAACTTATTCAGTTAGAGAGTACAAATACATATCCTTAGGTTTAAGCTACATTTTATTTCATATGAGAGAACTTATGATGTTTACTGCCCAGGTTGCCAGAACTGATGTAGGTGGGGCTGGACTTGAACCTGTGAACTGACATTTGTATGAATTGAAATTCATACCATGTAATTTCTGTCTTTGGACAGAGAGATAGAGTCACTAACTGACCCCAAACATCCACGAACCCACATAAGATTAAATTCATGAAATTTTACGAATGATCTACATTAGTAATAATGTAGCAAATCGGGGTTGCTAAAAGGACAACTAATATATAGCATTTTACACCTTATTGTTACGGTGACTCGTTGGTGTTGCAGATCAGAAATATTATTGTAACTATTCACATAATGATTAAGTATTGTTTTAGTAATGTAGCAACGCTATGTTACTCGTACCTATTTTAACGGGTATTTTTTATCTTGTAACATTCTACACAGACTGTAATGTCTACTCATATAATTGTCACTTTTCAAGACATCACAACTCTAGTGCAAGTTCCTTTCTCTCTCTGTGTGTGTGTGTGTCTGTCTTCTCATTCACGTGTGGTTGTCACCATTGAAATGTTGTTGAGTATAAGCCGTTCGATCTACTCAGTCTCGTTAGGCCCCATTTCGTATCGAAAGAATTTCCGATTCGCCTGTATTATGAATCTAATCAACCAACAATTATACAGAACATAACAATCAGTGAGCATAGTACCTTTGAATCGAATAAATCATCTATAAACCACCGATCTAAATAATAGGTATTTCAACTCTTTGAAATTATTTTAATTGAGAAACGTTCCACTGAAGCTAAGATAATTATTTCAACCGAAAGAAGACAAGAAACAAATTGGACTACAAACTAACTGGTCACTGAATTATATGTTTATGAAAGCAAAGTTATGAAGATCAGGAACAATGGATGCTTGTAAACATCATTGTGTTTATATTAGTATTGGACAAATTCATGACCAGTTTAAATTGTTTGATACTTACTTCGACTAATTACTGGTACAATAATGAAAAGAGGATGTTATTCTGTTCATTAAAATATAAACTTCTTTTAGGAAATAAAAATAAAATTGATACCATTGTTTGGAATGGTACTCAATCGTCTGATTAGTAAAACAACTATTAATGTCAAAACTGACTGATTTGAAGTAACAACCACTGGACAATGTACTTATTGAGTAAAAACGACTTTAAAAATGTACTGATTACAACATGTTAATATATACATATACAATAGTTTATTTACTGTTCTCAAAAGTATTATTTATAACAAGACACAGCCAATGAAGCAGTGCAGTGTTCCGCCGGTCAAAATTATCTTTATTACGAGCACAAAATATTAGAATTTCCAAATACCATAAAAATTTTTTACAAATAAGCTGTAAGTATCCAGTTGTAATTATGCAGAAAACCCTTTACTAGCTACTGAAATAAAAACATCGTTATACATATTTATCATGTACAGTGAGGAAATGGAGACGGTGACTTAACATCAACACCCCTGACAGAAATGAAGATCTACGTAATAATACCGAAAGAATTATAGTCATCCGATCAACTGATAATCAATATCCAACATACAAAGAAAACAATTTCAGAAATTTCAAACCATTTATTTAAAGTTTAGATATCCATGCATTTAGGAGAGCGACATTCAACTAGTGAAATTTGTTTATAATAACTATATTACTTACGAGTAACTAATTTTGATTCCCTTCCTTGTATTTCATTGGATAACAGTAGACTAACTGTCTTCTTATTGGTCGATACACCGTCTGACCACAATGAACCGATCATTTCGATGATTGTATGCGTTGACACTCAAATGTTGTTATTGTTGAGTACATTATATCGAATTTGAGTTTAATACAAAATAAGCATTATTTTTAGAATAGTGGAATTTGTAGCGACTTCAGAATTTTTATAGTTTAAATCACAAACTGATCTTAACTAGGTTACCATTCAAAACATGGAAGTACTGAACGTCCATTTTGTTCTAGTATAGGACCCCCAAGAAGTACGAATCCACGACACTGCACCCAGTAACTTCGGTCGCGCGCGCAACCTTTTAGCCTTTAGACCACTGAGCGCGCATCCAACACTGTTAGCGTTTAACTTCAATCTATGATATTGCGTAACCCTGATCCAATACCTGCTGTGAATGAAAATTCTACAATCTCCACAAATCCGCCGATTCTGATGATGATAATAATAAAGTGAATGGCTACAAGATGAAGTTCCGGGAGACTTAGTGGGAGGCCGTGATCAGTGGAGCATAATAATGTCGAGTATGAGATAGGGGAGATTTGTGGCTCAGGCGGATGATTTTGGTGGAGTCAAACAACACTATCATTCTTAGATGTATTAATCACCAGAACCGACACAGGAGAGCTGGAAACTAAAATATATCAGAAGTCGACCCACATAGATAAAATTCTCAATTGCAGTAGTAACAACCCAAGAACTCACAAAATCAACTGAGTACAAACTTTATTCAAGAGGGCGAGGATACACTGCAACACGTATGCAGCACGAAAAAATGAAGAAAAATATCTAAAGACTATCTTTCAAAAGAACGGCTACCCAATCAGCTTCATCAAAAAATATCAACCTAACGGATCAGCAGAAACAAAATCAAGTACAGAAACCAACAAATGGATCATCCTACCATATATAAAAAGCATACCAGAAATTACAACAAGATTGTTGAAGCCTTTTGTAATAAGTGTAGCACACAAACCAACAAAATCACTCCAATAAATTTTATGCAAACTAAAGGACAAGATGATGAAAGATGAAAAACCGAACATCATCTACAAAATAAATTGTTCCAACTGCGAAAAAACTAGATTAGACAAGACGGACGCCTTCTTAACCTTGACTGTATGAACATCAATCAGCGGTCAAACACCATGACATATCCTCACTGATATAAATACATGTGGACAACTGTGGACACATCCTACTGGGAAAACGTTGAGATCTTGGATAGAGGCAATTCTAAAAAAAACCCAGAGGATTTTTAGAAGCTTGGCACTCAGATCAATCAGTAATCAACAAATACATTGAAATTGATTCAATCTATCAACCAATCAGAAAATTCATGGATAAATATAGGACCAAGAATCGAATCAATGGGAGATACAGTCAGAATAAGACAAACAATGACAGGTTAAAGGTCAACAACAACCAATCAAAATTGAGGTCTACAGGACAAGCTGTGAGTCATATGTGGAGAAATTCGAACATTTCACCTCTACTTGAAGTTTGTGTTGATGATGACCTCCAGAAGAATGATAAAAGCCTCACAACCAAATCATCCAGCTCGGAAAACAAAACTCCACCAAAAAAATGTCGGGTGTGAGACAGTTGTCCACCTAAGTCCGTGATGGAAACTATGATAATTAGTAGTTGTAAAAGCAACTAGTATTATGTATTTTGATACATAAATATACCTAGCTTGTCTTACGATATTATTCTACATCAGCTGAGTTATTGCAATAAATCTAACAACTACTTGTAAATGAAATACAGTGTGACATAATACTTATTTATCAACTGAAATTTAAAAATACGCTTACCATTGACTCCAACAGATAATCACCATCCATTTCACTAACATCATAACGTAAACCAACAAGTAACGGATCGTGACTCATTTGTTGAACATGACTGGAAAGACTTGGATCGGACAGATCACACCAACCAATATAACCTGCTATACAATAATAATCTTCAGCCAAAGAAGAAATCATCAGACTTTCGGAATACGTTGAAGCAACCTGCGAGAGAGAAAAAAGAAAAACAAATACATGTAGCAGTGGAACGACAGTCATTAAATTCGAAACTTTCGTAATTGTATTTACTACAAGACAGGGAATAGGTTTAAAATGATAAAGTACCCAAAAACTGACGGTATCGACTTAAAAGAGGAAAGGTCGGTTAGTCGTAATCAAAGCTAGGCCTAAGATAGGTGCTGTGGATACCTTGGTTAGGATGTCATGTAAGACAAAAAACATGTTCAACTTAATTAGGTTGCTATGATAAGCAACCACGTCAAGATGGAATCGCTGTTCGAATTCGGGTTTAAAATATTTATATGAAAAAAACACTAGAGGAAAAATAAGCATAGAGCTACTAGAACCATACCATCAGTTTCTCATGATGATATCTTATCAGTAAAAAATAATAAACAATGGAATCCAGAAATTAAATAATAACTATAATGTTACCTGAACGTGAATTGCATATCGCACAGGAGCCAGTTCACCGATTTCATATTTGATTTCATTTTCAGCTCGAGCACGCATATAATCAATTTCTTCTTCGTAATCATCTGCTGTATAGTCTCGTCGTAATACTTTTGCCCAACTAGCTGTTGGAGGTGGAGGTAGCTTTCCACCCAGATAAAGCTGACTAGCACTTATAGATTCTGACAGAGACCATATGGAGAAATGTGAATCGATATAGGGTGGTGTTAAGGGAGTCCAAGCTGCAGTTCCAGCTTGAACAGCTTCTTTTTCATCAAGCCGTTCAAATTCTATCCATTCATTTTCTTCAGCAGCTACCTCAGCCAATAGATCAGGTTTGTCAGTCCGAGGATAAAGTTGTTCATATTCAGCTTGTGTTAAGGGTCCAATAAACCCTGTATCAGGTTTATTTATTGCCTAGAAATTAACGAGTTCATAGATATTACGTATGTAACCCATTTACAACTAAAATTATAAAGAGTGAATATAATCGTGTTTATAATTTATTTCAACAACTGTCGTTATTTTTACTTAACTATAGTTTGAAGTTACGCTTCGAAAACAAAAGCCTGTTTTTTAAAATGCTCACTTATCAGAAAAAATGTAGATCTCTCAACACTATAACCCTAAACAAAAACCAGTTTTACCTTTCACTCATAAAAAAACCTTACTTCTATTAACAGAAACTATTAAATCAAAAGTATAAACTCATATTTCAATTTGTTAATAATGTTTGACAATAATAAGTCAAAAATGAGTGATAACAATGTAGTCGTTGTATATATATCGTGTATTGTGAATGATTATCGTTATCAGAGATTGTTTAATTCAATGCATAATTTGTGACAATGTTAAATTGGGATACTCCACTCTTTCGAGACATTATCATGTTTTTTTCAGGAAAATATTAAATAAAAATAACTTTTTAAAAAAAGGTTTTATCCGAGTCACAGCATTTGTCCGGGGCTAACTAATCTGGTTTATTTTAATAAAGATGTAACTCGCATATTACATTTATAAGGTACAGCTACATGGAACATCATTAGATCTGTTATCACTTTAGAAGCATTTTATTTCACATATGGAACTACTATTATACGAGAGTTTCTGACTACTTCCTAACTTCTTATCATTAATTTCTACTGACATTTTGTTGATTTCATGTTAAAATTTAAGCCAGAATCAGATAAAACTAGATATCTGTTTTAATCCAGTTGGAAATTTCCCAGGGTGCAAGCTCTTTCAGAGGATAAAAATTTCAATGATTAAATATAACTGAAATGATTGTGGATCATATTACAAAATAATGTAAAATAAAAGTATATATATATATATATATATATATATATATATATATATATATATATATATATATATATATAACACTCGAAATAGTTAAAAAAAATAGCTGGACCAAAAAAACCCCGAAATATACGTCAACTATATTTATTTACAATATACGTGGACATGTCTGTAGTTTATAAATAATCAATTAGCTGTACAATTCACAATGTTTTTCTAAAAATGGCGAAATTTAGAAAAGTAGTTTTTCATTTAGAAAATAAAACTCAAACATATTAAACAGTTGTATATATATATATATATATATATATATATATATATATATATATATATATATAGAGAGAGAGAGAGAGAGAGAGAGAGAGGAGTGTAGTATTATTTAATTATTACTTTAACTCGAGCTCTCTCTTTGTCATTCGTGTATTTATCTGTACTATTCTTAACTATTATTATTAACATTAACATGAACGTGTGATGGTGGCAGTAGTAGTATGTGTATAAATTGAAACGTTGCGATAAGAAAAAACAAACGATACTCCTTTAAGTTTAAACAAATAGAAAGAAAATCTATCATTGAAATTTTAACATATAAATTAATTGAGCTTAGCACAATACGCATCAGCATAAATATTGTCAGTAAATCAGTCTAAATAGTCAAAATTAAATAAATGGAAGAGAGAGAACAAGAGAAAGCAATATTTCGCAGAATAAAAAAATAATTTCGAAAATTAAGAAAAACCAAAATAAATAAATAAAAGGATTATAATGTGTCGTATGATAACTATTCATCTCATTAGATAGACAAAAAGATAGTTGTTGTTACGCCACGTGATGTACATTATGGAAGAGGAGGGGTGATGAATAAAAATGAGAGAGAAATTCATTGTATACAGAACAGTTGTAGTGATAATAATAATAACAACAATAATAGTCAATGAGATACCATGACACAGACATAAATAAAAAAGTGAGAGATAGAGAGAGTGAAAGTAATAGAAGACAGTGGTGAAAGTACATATATAGAAGCAAACCATAAAAGAATACTTCATCATTATATACTGCTATGTAAAGGTAGATTAACAAGATTTTCAGGTGTATCACTGCGATAACATTTTATTTTCTCATATTTCCCAGTTGAATAATCCATAGTTAGAAATGTGTCCACAGCTAAATCCATTAGTTGACCAGTATTTTGATTAAGAACACGTTCTCTATGTTCACTAAGACGAATACGAGTTATTTGACCAGTCTCTGGACGTGGATTATCTGGAAATGTATTTATTTGTAATAAACAGATTATAGCAAAATTTATTATAACAGGAAATAAAAAATTAGAAAAAAGTAATAATATTCAACGGTTATTTTCGGAAAGAAACCGATCATGACCACAAATAATTAAAAATCTCGACAGGACAGTCATTTTTTAGAAGATTAACTGTTAGGTTTGTGGAATAGTGGGAGTTTATTGATAAAAGCAATAGGTTTTCAATCACTAGATTGTGAATTTGAATCTTTTTCTACTTACACCAGTTTTTAGAGCTAGGTAATAAAATTAGCTTTAATAAAAACGGTGTGGCTTACAGTCAAGTTAATAAACATGTATTGGATGATTTATATTAAGCAGAGGTGAATGTTGGCCAACAGTGGAATCCAGAACGTGCGTTTCGTTCTTTTCGGGACTCGTCGGAAATGAGCACCCACGACTCTACACACCTGCTTAAAATGCTTGTGATTTAACGGCACTATCGAGGCAATTCACACAGGATGTACATATGCCAATAAGAGATTGATCAATTGCGGTTATAGACATCAATTGGAGGTTCCAAATATATATATATATATATATATATATATATATATATATATATATATATATATATATATATATAAGTTATATCCAATCAAATTTATTCATATTATTGCAAAGATAGTTTTCATTAATTCACTGACATTATCATCAGGATTTCAATTTAATCTCCTTGTTGGGGTAATTGATTCATTCTCGAAAAAGCGACATAAAAAATCTGTTTTACATAAGCACACAAAAGTCCATCATAAAACTCTATTCACGAATTTCATACCATTATGAAAAGACAAGAATTTAATTAAATAAATCCCCTCAAAAGATGAACACTTTTTATTTTAATATCTACTCAAAAATATAAGGGATTGATACAACATATGGATTAGTATAACGGTCTGTGGAGATTGCAGTATATTCATGGTTGGAATGACGGATTGACCTTAGTTAGACCACCACCAGACGAGCGTTTAGCTCAGTAAGGGACTCCTCAACAGTGTGCATCCACGATCCCGCACGCGGAAACCGAGCCCAGGACCTTTGATCTCGCGCGCGTGAAAATACTGCAATCTCTACAGATCCTCCATACTAATAACAATCATGTACTCACTAGTGACTAGCTTTAAAATGTAGCTCCTAGAGTTCTCGTGAGAAGCCATGACCAGTAGGGTTCAGTTAGTGACCCACCACAGTGTTGTGTAATATCATGGATTAATTGAAGTTAAACCTGGACATTACTGGAACCCGAGTCAATTTTTAAGAAATTAGATGTTCGGGCACGAGAGCGAAAGTTCTGGGCTCGGTTCCCAAGTGCAGGATCTGGGATGCGCACTTTTAAGGAGTCCCATACCAAAGCGAAACGCTCGTCCGGTGTTTCTATGTTCTCAATGGTGGCCTAACTAAGATTAGTTCGTGAGTTTAACTGTGAAAATTCATAAATTTTCGTGATTTTTATTCGAAATGGAAAATAAAATAGACTATATATCGATTATTCTGTTAAGTATATACCTACTGGCTAAGATGCTGTTATCATGTATATGCAACAAACTAGATAATTTAACACTAACAATTTTACCCATATTTTTGATAAACAGTAATTAAGTTACTTTAGATGATTTGGAGGGTTTATTAAAAATTGATTTGATTCAATCATTGTATTCAATCAGGGCTACCTACTTTTCAGTCATACTCCATATGAGATCAATTTATGGCGAATACAAAAATCTAAAAGGTAAAAACCAAGAAGTAATTTGTCTACATCACTGTTAACGAATTTATACCATGGGACCACTTTGTTAACTTACTAATTAAAAAATATAAAAACTAGTAGAATTAAATCCAACATCTTTTTGAATGAAATATACATTATGAGTTGTATGACTGTGGAAAATCGCCTACATTAGGAGTATGATGTACACACACACATGAACACACCATAAAACAAGAATAAACTGAATGTATACATATACTGATTGTAGACAGTTAAATTAATGATAATGAATACACTTAAATTGAATACGATGTGTATTGTATTTTTAAAATTTTTACCTCTTGAACCAGCGATGAATGATATGATCATTGCTTTTTCAGGTCGAGTAACGCGATTCGCATCTTGGAATAAACTTTGCACTGTACTTAATTGTGATTCGGTTAAACATAAATCATCTTGAATTTTCACAGATGACAAATTTGTAGACGCGTTAACAATATTGCCAGTAACCGTTGTTAATGAAGGTTGTGATGAATTTATAAGATTTGTTTCATTAGGAACCATAGTATTTGAAGTCTCCGCCAGGTGTATGTTGTAGTTTGGAAAACTTGTGGTAATAGATACGGGAGATATATCACAGGGATTTGGTATATTAATATTAGAGTTGCCAGTATCATTATTAGTATATGCGTTTGATACAACAACCTGGTGACTAGTGGTATTTTGTGTTACATTAGAAGAATCCACATGAATTTTACTTTGATTTGACGGTCTTATTACAGTCAAATTAGGTGGTCTGGCTGCTTGAACGGTTGTCGCTGTAGGTCGCGGTAATATCTGAACATACGTTTGATTTACTGAAGACTAGATGAAAGAAACAGAAAATAAGGTGTAAATGATTTTTAATTTATCCTGAAACCACTTTGTAAATTAGTGACGCTAAAAAAGCTTTTATACACTACTTTTAAAAAATGAACGACTAAGTAGATATTCAAAACTATACTGCATAAAAGATAAATAAAACCGTGATAGTGAGGGTTATTTAATGGTTCTGTCGAAAAAGTCAGTTTCACGATAATTCTTTAAATTGCTATTTTCAAATTTGAAATCTCGCTTCTTAAAGTCGCGATTTTAGGGGCTGAATGCCAAGCCTACGGATAACTGCCCCATTAACACTAGCCAATTTTGTGTTATTATCAGTAGACTTCCCAGTACAAATGCAGAACGGTTGAGTAGATATTTAAGCGTAAATTAAGACACTCAGAAGAGATAATAAATACTTTTCTGAAACTAAATAAAAGTACGTTGGAAAATTGAAGATTTACGAAAATCTTAACCAGTAGCATTTTCCATGACGCATGAAAATTCTGTTCCGATATATGAC